GGGCTCTCCCCTGGAAATTGTTTGAAAATTTGATTCGCATATCAGACGCAATTACAATTAATTCTAGTTGAAAAACCTGTAAGTTACTGCTGAAAGAAAAGTGAGGCTCCAAGCCTTCAAATGCGAAAAAACAGTTCTTCCATCATTAAAATGGGGAAGGTCCCACTTAAATTAGCCTCAATTTGAAATTTATTTTTTAGTGGGGGATGAAAATAAATCAACTTTCTAACATACACTGTAGTACTTTTCCCTTCTCTTTTACTCGTTCGTATCCTTTTTTTCATTCTTTTTCCTTCCTTCCTTTTCTCCTTTTCGCCCTCTTCTTCCTTTTCGTCTTGCCCTCTTTTTCAAACCTTCCTTCCTGGACTCAGTAAGGCCATGCCGACATACCCCCCCCCCCTCCTGGATCCACTAGTGTCGTTTGAGTGCGTTTTATTCGCCTAAAAGTTCGGGCACCTACCTATGTGCTCGAATTAAGAAATTGAAATTCTTTGTATTTTACTTAATGAGCGGATAATTTTCGGCGGCGCTTTTTTGAGTTCAATTGTGATTGTTTTTACATATTTTAACTTAGAAAATGCTTAAAAACTTTGGGAGATCAAAGTATATTCAAGTCATGAAATAGTAGGTACATAGAGGCACATATGGGTTCAAATACTTTCGAACATTATTTAAATAATGAGACGGACTCCAATTCAATCCCTCCGAGTTCAAGATGAAAAATTTTGCGGCGGTATATCTGTATACCTTTTTCGGAATCGACCTCTTCATGCATGAGCCCCAACGCATGGTCGTTACGAAATTCCTGCCATTCTTCTCCGTTTAACATAATTCAGTATTTATGTATGAGTTTCGGAAAAACATTCTTACAGAGTTCAAAATTAAAAAAAAAAAATAAAACGCTCCAGAGCTGAGTATAGATGCAATTTCGAAATTGTGAAGCACGAATATAGTTGCTTTATACTCTCATCAGCCTCCTGTACTGAGTATCTGTCCTTGAAACATTTTCAAAATATTTCCAAAACATTTCACCGAACACTTCGAAATTAGAAGTCTCTAATAAGTTTTGAAAATGTGTTGAAAACATTTTTTAAAAACTTCAGCGACACTGGTACGATTTATATTCAAAACGTTTTGAAAAGAATTGAAGATGCTGATCGAAAAGAAAATTAAAACGTTCAGAAAATGAGTTGGAAATATACCGCACCAATCAGTAATCTATACTATAAGCTCCAAGACCTCCTAATTTCGCGTAACTGGTAACGCTTAGTTCCAGCCTTCTACCGGGCCGATTTTCATGATTTTGGCGGCAATCGACGGGCAATTGTCTCTAAATTACCCAACTCTTTTCAGATTTTCAAAATATGAACCAGGTTTTTTTATATTACGTGGTAAAGTTGCGAATTCTCCCATTTAAACAATGTAAACTTATACTTTTTGTCATAGTTCGTTTGAGCGTTCTGCCGGGCCGATTTCCATGATTTTTGCGTAGATCGTCAGGTAATTGGCCCTAGATGAGCCCGCTGTAATCAGATTTTGGAAAAAGGACCCAGGTTTTTTTAAAATCACGTTATAAAAGTGAGTGAGTTTACAGAATGCTCCGGCACTGCTACCGCTATGCGCGGGAGGATGCGCAGTGGTCGAGGAGGTTGCGCAGTAGCTGTGTAGCCTGCGCATCAGCTCTACACTTATCTACACAAGATTCGCACCTACGACCACACGTCGAGCGGAAGTCGAGTCGTCTAAGACGTCGAATGCGTTCACTTTGAATTTGGTGTGGGTTCGATCCCTGACTCATGAAATCTTAATTATTACCTGACTATCATTGTTCATTGTTTTACTGCAATATTTCATCAAGCAGTCATTCCAAAACGCGTTCTTTTAATTTTAAAGTAATTTTAAGTAAAGTTTAAAATTAAAGTATACCTCATATCGTAATTTTTAGGGGAAAAATAAAACTAACACTGATAGGAGGGTAAAAATAGGGCCGCGAAGCGGCCCATTGATGGCGCGGAGCGCCTTCAGGGGGTTGGGCCGCGTAGCGGCCAGGGGGCTTAGCCCCCTAGTATTTATTGTTAATTGAAAACATATCCAAAATGTGTCAGATAGGTCGCAGGAAGGTGTTGTTGAGCCGTGCAGGAAAAGTAGTTGACAGCACTTTGAAAAGTTGCTTGAAACAAGTTGTAGATTCATTCAAAACATTTTCAACATATCTCCTAAATATTTCACCTAACACTTCGAAATTAGAAGTCTCTGAGAACGTTTCAGAAATGTGTTGAAAACGTTTTCAAGAAGTGATAGTAGAACAATTTGAAAACATTTTAAACACATTTCGAAAACATTGTTTTTACGTTCCCTTAAAGGAAGTGAAATTATGTTTAAACTGTGTTCAAAATTTGTTGTCTCTGATGAAGTATTTAACATGACTCGCAACTTTGTTTTCTAAATGTTTTTAAAACATTGCATTTTCCTTCCAAATTTTTCTTCTATAACATTTTTTGCATTAATTTTCAAAACATTTCTGTTGTGTTAAATGTATCCGAGTTGAAACAATTTTCAAAATGTTTTGGATATGTTTCAATGAAATGTTCAAAGTCTTTGCGTCACTGGAACATTTCTGAAATGTTTCTAAGATGTTTCAACGAGATGAATTAGTCTTGACACAATTGGAATGTTTCTGAAACCTTACCAATCCGAGCTGTGCTAGCAAGGTAGGACATTTACCTTTTCGTTCATGTGAGGGTGTATTGAAGAAGGGTTGAAAATGACACAAAATTCTTTGATTTTTATTTTTTATTTTTATTTTCTCTATAGAGGTGCAAGTGTTGTGCATTTTTGGTTTGATTGCTGTACAAATAATGTTTTTATTTCATTTTCTGGCTCTTTACAAAAATTATATAACTCAATTTCATAAATTGAATAAAAAAATAAATTAAAAAGAAGGATGGAGGAATTGGACATTCCTCTGTCAAAGATTTTCATAATAAGTACTTCATATAGATAAAAGACGAGATGAACACAAATATCAAACTTGAAAACAAATTATAACGTTGGAAAGTAGCCTCTCAATTTGTTCATTTTTTGCAATTTGCTCTCGGCGCGTATTTATCTGAAATGTGTTTCATTATTGTTCATACATAACTTGCTAAGAGTTGTTATCTTTTTCATCTCCAAAAATGTTATCGATAAAACTCATTTTTATGTAATGTATGGGAGCATTGTACTTTGTATCACATGAGTAAGTAAGAATCCTCTCTCGATCCCCGGCGAAATGAGTGATCGAAGTAGTAACATGAAGCCACGAGTGAAAACTCAAGGATAACTTAGGTTCTTTTTTCTGCAAGTATCTCATTGGATGTTATGTGTCTATAGTCACTGGATTTTAAATTTGTATAATAAAAGTATTTCCTATGTAAAAGCACTTCTAATTTGAAGAGGCTCTTGGTTCGAATTTAAGGTTGTAATAACGTCTTCATAGCTATGTTTGGTCATTAAAGAAGCTCTTGTGTATTTATAAGTGTGAAAGTCAATTTTGGCACATTCTGATCCTTATAGACTTTTTTTCCCCGGAGAAAGAGTGCATATTTTTTTACAAACGAATCCTGTATATCTGTTATGCAGATCGACGATGCAAGTCGGCAATCACATAACTCGGTTTGCGACGTCGCAGACTTCCTGTCATACTTTATTTTTTAAACGGAAAACTATTCAACGGCAGTTCTTCAAAACTGCCATGATTTTTCTTCATTGTGCGAAGAAAATTCTGCAAAAACTTCAAGGAATGATGTCAATTAGTTCTCCTTTAAAAAAATAACATCGAGGCGGAGATTTTCAGACACCGCAAACGAGTTATGTGATTGCCGACTTGCACCGTCGAGATGTAATTGAAGTGAGGGTGTTGAAACAAGGTAAATGAAATGGTTGATATTTTTAAGATCCCTCACCTTTTATAGAATACTTCTTAGACTGAACTTACGTTATTTTTGAGCTTTTAAAAAAGAAAACTTCTTGAGTGAACTTCATGAAACTGAAGGGAGAGGGAGTGAAAATAGTGAAAGCAAGCTGAAGTAGCTACCCACCATACATATTCTGCAATGAGCTTCTTCGTCGACATTTGAACAAAAGACAGTGCTTTCAACAGTATTGAAAATTAATTTCTTAGATTAATAGTTGACTAGTCCATTGGTTTATTACTTACATTATCAATTAATATCTAACTAAAAGTTTATCGATCACTCAGTCAATTCAAATGTGATGAGATTCATTCATGATCAATTATAAGTCAATTTTTGCCACCGTTATGCCTGTAAGGTAATTTTTAATTTTACTTCTCCTAAGCTGAGTTTCATGTTGAAGTCCACGCCCAATAAGTTTACGAACTTTTAGACTATGACAGAAGATTTGCCATCTCGATTCTTGCATTTACTTTCAATGCTAAGCTGAGGTCACACGATTTTCTGGTGCAGTCTAACAGTGCGTAATTTATTTCAGTGCCTTCTAATAGCAATGATTTAAATGTGTTTTTTTCTGTTTTTTTTTTTTTATTTCAATCCTGATATTGTTGAAATATACTGCATGAAAAAAAATACAGCATGTTATTCCTGAAATTGTTTTATTTCATTTCAATTTGTTAGAATTCTGAAGATTGATGTAAGCCTCCTATATTCTTTCATCACGTTCCTGTCGAAACATCAAGTTTCGTCAGTAATTTCTACGGAAAACATGACCTAGTCTTGAATAAAGTTTCTCATTTTACCTAATTTTTGTCATTCCATGAGTAAATGGAATAAAAAAAGAGGAAAATTTAATGTTTGAAGAATACTCAAGCATGATGGCAAAAACTGAAAAAGAGTAATGCTTGCACAGTTAATTCTTTGACAAGTAACAAAATGCACACAATTACCTACAATGACATGTTAGAAAACTGATTAAAACTGAGAACGAGAGCAGTTGAAAGTTGTCTGTGTCTAGAAGACAGATTTGTTTTCTTCTTTTTAATATTTTCTCCTATAAGTTTTTTTGGATTTAACATATGCTTAAAAATAAAACAAGGAAACTAAAATTCTTTGGTTCAAAGTTGGATAATATCTAAACATCATTATTTTATGAGTATATGTTACAAAATATGATTATTTTCAGCAGTGTACTTTTTCTGTCTTGAAAGAGGAAAAATAAAAGACCGTCAACGGAGCTTTTTCATGGGAGCAAATCAATAAATTTCTACTGTTCTTTTCATCTCAGGAAAATTGGTCTCTTCCTTGATTTTTCTTTAAATTGGCTGGCAAAGATCTCCTAACTTTATTTCTTGACACAAATCATCAACTAATAAAAGCTGAGATTATGGGTTGGTGACTTAGCTCTGAGAATACATAATTTAATTTTGTTGATTCTAAGACAACGGAAGAATAATGCATACCTAAACAATATTTTGCAACCAATGGTGAAATAAAAGTGGCAGAAAAAATTGGGAAAATGACCTTAAAATGTTAAAAATGTTGAACAATTGTTGGTGTATACAGTGTCTTACACGCTGAATAGCAGAAAATATGAAGTTTTCCCCCGGAAAAAATTGAGATCTTCGTGTTTTCAGAGTTTAGCCATCAAGCTGTCAAGCTTGCAATGAAATGGACCTTTTCTGAGAGATATTAGTATATTGACCCTAGTGATGGAAATAAAGAATTGACAAAGAAGCAGATGAATTTTGAATTTCGTTGTCAGAGAACGCCTAAAATCTGCTTACCTAAGCAAGTAAATACACCCTCATTAGTTTAACCTTCTCTCACTCTTCATCTAAATTTTGCTTTAATTTTTTGGAAAATTTCTTTTCCAGTTTTAGTCTCAGTTCCTAAAATAATTTTCTCTGACATGAACATGTGCTTGCCATTAAACGTAAAACAAATGGAAAATCATGATCATTTCAAATATGGTACCAGTCGCACACATTGTCATGATTTCAGTATTTATGTACTTTTGTAACTCAACCTCTGTTGTGTCGATCTAAGACACCTCTGTTTGTGGGGCTGCGTCGTCTCTTTGTCAAATTTTGTCTTCAGGCGTCGCCAATCAAATTTTAATGAAACATTTAAGCTTTTTCTTATATCAAAAACTCAACTTCTCCCAACGAAACGAAAAGGCATTTCTATGCTACCCATGTGCATTGTTATTTTTCTGCTGAAATCTTATGGTTTATGAATCAGTATGTCTTTAGTTTGGTTTGGTGTATCGTATCCTCCAGGTTATCACTAGATACTTAAGTATTTCGTACTAAAGTATTAAGTATTTTTTTCACAAAGACTTCTTCCACATATCTAATACATGTAAAATTAAGTCGTTTCACTTGAATAAACTTACGTAATTACATAATTGTATTTACAAATTTAAAAATAAATTAAAATAAAACAGAAATAAATACGAGCTTAAGATATACAAAGCTGAATGTTTACAAAGTTGATGTGTATGTACATCAAAATCTTGCACTACTTTTTAGTGAAAATATTCCCATGATATTTTCAAGGCAACAACTGTCTTTACAAAACGAACCTCTAATCGACTAATATTTCTCAGGTGGTCTCATAGAGGTCAAAATAGGCCCACTTCATTATTCGCTACCTATCCTAATAACACAGATGAATCAAAAGTACAACAATAATTAGGAGTTTTTTTTACACCTGTCAAGATCTTCTTGACCATGGTGACTTATTGAAGGGATGACGATTCACTTAAGAAAGGATATCGCACTCGTGTGAACATTAGCGTATTAAATATTAATCAATGGAGTTAAATGAGACCTTCTGAACTTCTTGAGACTAAGAATGAACCTTAGTTGCAGTGAACTAAAAAAGTATTCCTTCTCAGTTTAGAAATTCTGAGGGTGATTTTCCTCCAGTAGAGGAAATCATCTGCAAAGATACGACACAATTTTTGCCTTAAGATGACCGATGAAAAACTGATAGATGATAAATTCATCACAAAAAACTGAACTCCTAAGCTATTCCTCACAGAAGATTTTTTTTATAGTTTTTTTATGCTTGCTCCTATCGGGAGAATGAAAGAAGTTGGTTGTGAATAATTTGGTAAGAATTTTAAAGTATCTAATGTGGATTTCGATGGTTAAAATCGGAAAATGCATACCTCATTGCAACCCAAGTAGTACAATGCAATGAAAATTTCAAAATAAAATTTTGATTCAGTAAAATAAAGTTGTAATTTTTTACTATAAGATTGCAATGTTTTTACTCCACTTTTTTAGTAAATGCTGATTTTAAACAATCAGCAAGATGATCTCTATTTGCCAAAAAGGTAGGCAATTTGCAACGCAGTGAAAAATAGCGACTTATTTCAGTTTTATTGCAATAAATGTCAAAAATCAGTGTGCCTTCAATCGGCAGATCGAAAGCATACGCAACACCTATTGCAGCAGCAATACTTTTACTGTTCAGATCATTGCAATTTGTGCTCTTTGGGCATGTTTCAGACTCTTATCTCCTTTACAACGGTGCAGACTTCTTATCGTAGTCGCACTTCATATTTAAATTAGGAAACTTGTCAACTTAATTTCTTGAAAACTTCCTGAATTTTTCGTCTCCATCAGCAGAATATTCCGTAGAAACTTCAAGATAAATAGTTGACTTAGTTTTCTTCGAAAAAATGAAATAGGAGCTGAGATTTTGAAACGCCACAATGAAGATTTGTGGTTTCGCACTGTGGGCATCTATATATCTCAGGAATAGGTAATCGAGGACGACAAAAAAAATTCAGGTGATAATTTTACCCTGGTTTTCCCCGATCATGTTGATTTTTAGACTTTGTAGACGTTTTACGGATGTCGCACATCCAACATTTTTAGTGTAGTGACCTGATGATGATCTTAAACAGACCGAAATAGCTATCGTCGAAGTCTAAAAATCAACGTGATCGGGGAAAACCAAGGCGAAATTATCAGCTACAATGCATCCCGATAAGAACAGCTTCAACTTCGAATTAAAAAAAATCAGACCTGAAATCTACTGTACCTAATACTTGTGCATATCCCCCATACTTAATTCATCGACACCTGAGCTTTTACTGATTTGACCTGTCGCTAGTAGCCTCTCGAACTTTGACCCGAGGAATCCTTTAATCTGTCCCTCAGTAATATCTGGTTTTAATTATACCCCTGTCTTGGCAGATTTTGTGATGCCCTTGTGATGCCTACATATGACAGAGGGTACATAGTTTAGGTACTGTGGATTCTTCCATTCATGTTCAAACATTGACACAATGCTTGAGTAGAGGCTGGCCATGGGTACACGAGTCATTTGGAAATGGATTGACGTGAATAGGGACCCAACTGGTGCTGTCACGTCATATTCGATCGTCTCAGCTCCGTATTTTGGGTAGTTTTGCAGCTCACATCCCCATGATGGTTTCGACCTTAACGTGGCATGAGGCGCTGCCTTGGGGCGAGGCTGCGCTGGCGCCGAAGTTGGCCCTCGTTGCAGTGATCGGAGACACGGAGAGTGTTGGATCACTCGATTTCGATGTATCCGGATAGAAACAGCACGGATCTAGGAACAACCCAAAATATGCAACAACAGTTAATTACCGAAAATTTGGTGAAGAAAGAATTGAACACAGAACAGGTCTAGCGACCAAGCTACCTACCTAGAGTACCTATCTCTATAGGGAGATAATGGAAAACTCGATTTAAGTAGCTCTAAGGGCCCAAAAGGGCGACAACGTGAAAAACTAAAATCACCAGGAAAATGCCGCTGCTAACTTATATGCATTTAAAAAGTCACTCAATATGGCCGACAGCGCATTACAAGCAAGCGTCTTTCAGGATTAAAACTTTGAAACTGAGACAATGTAAGGGAAATCACAATTTTATGCGTCCTTTTCTAATTTTTGATCAGTGTCAATGGTGGAAATGTGAACATTAGTACCACTGGATAATTCGAGCCCATAGGTTGGCTCCCCTTTTGGGTCCCAAGAGCTACAGGGCTACATGGCTTGATCAAACCTGACCTCCATAGTTTCGAGTTGACCGTACTTTTGCTATAAAGGTACTCTTTACCTACCCTACCAGCAATGATCCTTCAAAAAACATTTTTCTTCAACTCCCAAAAAAAACTGTTAAGACACTCATTCAATAATGATCGTCATGGTGCAAAGAATCGATTTTATAGTAATTTGAACGACTTTAATAGTAACTAACTTTTTCGTCTTATCAATTCTTGACGAGTGATAACCGTAATCCACAATGAAAAGTCAATTTAGGCCATATCCGCCAAGTTTGGCTGTTTTCCGGCACGAAGATTTTGGCGCAAAGTTGCAATTTGGATTCAAAGTCAAAAATTACCTACGAATCACTGAAAACACAGCCACCAGGAATTTTTGTGGGCTATTTCCCTTTTATGGACTATTTGCCGGGACTGTGTAATAGAAATTTTCAGGGTGTGCTCAGAAAAACACCAAATAAAAGAAGACTCCTTTCTGTATTGCACTGTATACTGGCAAATAAAAATTACAGTTAATAGGGGATGTGCGCTCAATTTAGAATCTATTTTACCGAGCAAATCAGACGAGTTGAGATTAATTACCTAATTTATTAGAATGTTAGGCTCTGTCAGGGTTTGGAAACTAGTCGCAAGTCCCAATCAGAGGTGCAGAAAATGCGGAATCATAAGTCCCGTGTGAGGCTGGAAGCCTCGTGGAAATTTGAAAAAGCCCACCTTTGATTTTTATAAAATTACCAGCATTTTCAAAGGTTTGGAACAGCCACGCTCATCTTTGATCATGGTCTTGAATTTTTGACATGAGCGTAGCTAGAGTGATCAAGTGATCATAGGGGAGCCTGGAGCCCGGGCCCCCTCCATAGCAGGCCCCAATCAAAATCACTGGTTTCCCATCAAGTGTATCAGGGTGTCTAGCTTCATGGATTTTCCCGATTCTATCAGGATTTGAGGTCAATCAGGATTCAATCCCTATTTCATCAGAATTTGAGAAAAAAATCGGTCTAAAAGCAGAATTTGAGAAAAGTCGGCCGTACGCTTATTTTCCGATAATTATCCGTTTTAAGTCCGTTAATTTTTCTCCGCAAAAAATCAGGATTTGATCAGGATTCGAAAATATTATGAAATCAGGATTCAGCAGTCAAAAATCAGGATCTCCCAAAATGGAAAAAAAAACTAGACACCCCGTGTACAGAGAAGTCCTTATCCCCCATAAACTGGATTGGAATAGCGCTCGTTAGCTTATTTTGAAGATACGTCAATAACAAGGAAGGAAAATTTTTCTGCACCTCTGGTCCCATTTTCGAAGGCTGTTTTCGAATACTCACAATTTACTTACTGAGTAACCCACCAGGTCCAGTGTACGTATATCCGGGATAAGCTGGTGTTGAATACTGAGTATAGGCTGTGCTGTAGGTTCCATACTCGCTCCCACCACCTGTAATCACATGTAAGACGCGGGTCAGTTAAAGGACCGTCTCTAGTAGGTATACACTTGGAAATGAAGCCTTGTTTAGATTTCATTAAAATTTGTTCAAGACAATTACTGTATCTCTTTGATTGGATGTGCTTTCCTATAATATAAAAAAGTAATTCGGACTTTGATTCAGGCACCTACCTACGTTTGCAATGATAATTCAACCAGTTCTAGGGTGGTTACACGATAACTGGAATAGTTTTGTCGCCGTAACAGAAATGGTTGTATTGGTAATGTTTAGATGACTACAGGCATCACTATTTCGAAACTAAATTAAATAGTCTCCCGAAAAAAAAGTAATAATAAAGGGGGAAAAAAAACGGGGGAAAATTCTTATAAGTAAGTAAGTATGTCAATCAAACATGCATAATACAAGTCGGTCAACCAATATTTCCTATGCAAATAATCATAAACTAACTACTCTCGCATCGACAACGTCACACAAAAAAGCTACTTACAGGTTAGCGAAATGTAAAGAGAGCAGTATCTTACGATATATACCCATGCTCGGTTGAAATTTTTATTTTTAGGTATGTTTTATTAATTATTTGAGCCTGCAGCGCTGTAGCAGTAATGAAAATCAATCAAGGCGGTAAAACGGAAGATCAAGGCGGTAAAACGGAAGATCAAGTCGGTAAATCTCTGCGGATACCACGTAGGTACTAGGTAGGTAGGTAAGTAATCCGTACTCTTTTACCACTTTCATGCAGAAAAAAACTGTATCACTTAAAAAAAGACATTGAAAGCAAACCGAGCAGCCCTAGTAGCAGAATAAATGTTTGTTTTTCTAAAAAAAAAAATATGAAAAAACATATCAGTTATCTAAATGGTAGTTTTATATAAAAAACGTGTAACGCTTATTTAAAAAAATCAAAGGTCAGACCTGACCGTGATATAAAAAACGATAAAACCTAGATAAGGTTATTTTGTTTACAGACAATTTTTTTTATACAACGCATGCACGCGAAAGTGTTAAAAGAGAGCATTTTTATGTAACTACTTTATTTGAAAAAAAGTCATAATTTTCGTGAGCTTTTCGCGAATTAGAAGATTTCCTTAATATTTTTGCGAAAAACTCACGAAAAGTATGACTTTTTATACATTGGTTGCATAAAAATGTTCACTTTTAACACTTTCGTATGCATGCGTTCTATTAAAAAAAAAATTAACTTTCGTATATATCTTTATCTTTTCCCTCTATGATTCTGCCGCTAGGAAGGAACACGAATCCAGAATTGGCTATGAATGGGACTGCTACTTTCCCAGCGCGCGCTCTGCTGCTGTATTTATTCAACTTGAGACGATTTGCGTTACCTAGCTTCTCTCGAACGCATCTCCGATCTTTTTGCAAACGCAGGAAACCGCTCGGCCATTTAACGATGCGACAACATGCGGGAGATGTGGGAACTCATACGCGTCCCCCCTGTTGCATATTTCACAACTTGAAGGCGTTCTATATCCGCCTCATTCCTGGTGCGTGCACAAGGAAATATTTGCCCCTTTAGGATTAAACTTTCCGTTCGTTTGCACATTCTGCCGTGCTAAGGAAAAACGCCGTATGAACCTTCAGGCGTTACCAAATTTCCTTTACCTAATAAAACTTTAAATTTCTAGAAAACTTATGAATATTTTCGCTCAAATTTTTCAGATAATTAAATTCTAAATTTTATCTAAATAGTCTGAAATCTTCAAGGTCTCGGCGTTTCGATATTTTGGCCTGCCATTTATTTTTTCAAAGAAAAACAAACCGGTGTTGTCTGTAACAGAGCCGGATTCACGATTTTGAGAGCGACCTTTTTTCTTCTCTTTTTCTTTCAACCATGGTTAACGAGACTGGAATGCAAAGAAAGGGAGTGGGGAATAAGAGCGCGATGCCTGCTTCAAATTTCTTTCAGTCCATATTTTACGGGATGCACAGTGATTTGGTGATTTATGGACTCCTTACGAGTCTAGCAGAAAGCAGAGGCCTAAACATGGATCCGTAGGCCAATGCTTGCGAAATAGGTGGGTTTTGCGGCATTCGGGATTTTCCGGCCCTGAAACCCAGGTTTAGGCCACTGCTAGACTCGGAAAGAGTCAGAAAATGACTGAATAATTAGCACTCGGTAAAATATAGAACTTGGATGAAGAAAAAATCGTGACGTTCAGAGAATACAGGGCGGGCCCAAAAAGGCCCTCATCGATAGCCCTCCTTTGAGAATGGCATTATAATAAGGATCCCTGGTAAAAATGGGCAGTAGAATCTGTGTTCCAAAATACCGTAGACCTACAGCCGGCTGTAAGATTTCCAATAGCTTCTATAGCCGGCAACACACTTTCTTATAGCCTTCTATAGCCGATGGCGATTAAGCAACAGCCCGGCGATAAAGTGTATGCTAAACGTTACTAATTACGGATTCTAGAACTTAGTGAGTTTTTGGACTACCGCTCTCTTTATGGGTCGTAGTATCTTGGTTTATTTTGCGAGGAAAGCTCCGTACTTTTGAAGGATGCCTGCCATTCCTAATATGTTGGAGCGCCTTCAATTTCGTATGAAACTGTGCAATACCTCTGGTATGAAATAGTTGCTTCAAGCGCCGTGGTACGCTGCGGCGCGGCGCGGCGAGCAGGCAGCTAGCGCGAAACGCGCATTGGCGCCTACAAACCTAACGGGGATACTTCACGCATTGCGCAATGCGTGAAGTATCCCTGTTAGGTTTGTAGGCGCCAGTGCGTCGCCGCTCCGCTTTGTGTTAGGCTCTAATATTTAATCTCGTGAAGTCAGCGTTTTTCAACTCATGACCTTGAAATGTTTGCACACTCTGTATGGATTAATCTCATTTTAATTGATGAAAAAACATAAGTAGTAAAGGAAAATATAATGTGTGCTTTGTAAATATTAAGGTGATTCGGTACAAACTTAAGGATTTACAAAGCACACGAATTTCTACACAATTTCTTATAGCCTTTTATAGCCGATGGCGAAAAAGCAACTGCCAGGCGATAAAGTGTAAAGCCCGGCGATAGGAACTATAGCCCGGCTGTATAATTTTTTATCGCTTCGTGTAGCCAGGCCGTAAGATGTTTTCCACTTTCTACAGCCAGCTATATGATTTTCTATCGCCTTCTTCAGTCGGCTATAAGAACTCCTATGGTATTTTGAAACGCAGCTCCTATCGCCAATTTTTACCAGGGGTTACAATGATACATGGATCGCATTTAGCAAACAGGAACCAGCGCGATCATAGTGTTGTATCTTCATATTTCACTAAAAATCTGCCAGAATAGCAAATATTTTTCGTCATTTCACCGAAATATTGCTAATTTCAAAGGAAAATAAGTGTGTACATTTTAATACTAAACATATAATAAGTATTTTGAAAAGGAAATAAGAAAGTGCACGATTTTGAAAACACTGTAATTGCGCTGGTTCCTTTTTGCTAAATGTGATCCACGTGGGGTTTGGGTAATTCTTCGGGGGAGACTTGCCTGGAGTGTAGTGAGTAGCGAAGCCGGGGAGCATGGTGGGGGGTGCGGGGTGGTAGGCGACCGGGGTGGAAGAGGGGGTAGTGTTGTTGGCCGGTTGGAGGACGGTCAGGTTGTCCGGAGATCCACTGGGCGCAGGGTCCGCCGTGAGGGTGAGCGGTAGCCCGGGGGAGGGCCCCCCACCGCCGTCCCCGTTGTAAGAGCCGCCAGCGCCGCTTTCTAAACAACACATCAAGCTACTCTAAATACCAACTCTATCAAGCCATGCAGCACATGAACACACACAATATACCTACGCTCGTTGTCCCTTTTAACAACTCAAAATCATTACCTCTGAAAACATGCTTATAAAACTTTTTTTTTAAAATTTTTAAACAACTAAAATAAAATAATTTTTCGTACGATGAGAATTTTTTAGCTTAATCTCTCTTATTTATTTCTCTCGCTCATCAAAATGATGTTCTTCATGGGCGTTTCTATAATAGAATTTTTGTTATAATTCAGAGAAAAGCAACTTTGACACGAATGACGAACTTTTACCTTGAATTGAAAAAAAAATTAAAAAAGAAAACAAATAACTTCACTAAAAAATGCCTTCAAGTAACTTAGCCATGTTTTTTCAATAAAGAAAAATTGCCGAGTGAGACAAAATTGCTCTTAAAATTAAGGTCGAGATTTTTCTCAATTGAAGAAATTATTTTCAACTACTTTTTTTTCTTCAGTGAGAGCCAAAATTAGCAGAAAAGAATCATGTCCGTCAGAGTTGAGTGTGCTGTTAGTTTCTCTCAACGATTGCGTTAATTTTGGTGAAATATCCGTCGAATTTTGATGAAATTTTCTTTGATTCTTGAATTTTAATGAGATCTCAATACATGAAGCTACTGAGTAAGATGCTTACGAGGATGTCCGCGGTATCTTAAGTGAACAAAATCATTGAAGAAGTTAAGACAGAACGATTTAGTCTGCTAGACTTCAGTACTCAAATTGGAAATGCCACTTTTTCATGTCACGAAGTGGTAAATTGGACGTATTTCTATCAAACGGAACTATGTGCATTATGACGTGAGCCCTGTTATGCGTGTATTCTTATGGGTCTCAGGGCTCATGTCTTAATGCATATAGTTCCGTTTGATCGAAATACGTCCAATTTATCTCTCTCTAATCGTATTTTTACCAATTTTCCACATCAGGAAAAAATCGTAATGTATACTTCGTATTCAAGTTTTGAGCTTATCAAGTTTTTTCAAAGAAAACAATAAAATGGTCTCCATCGAAATCCCTGGTGTCTCATTGGATCATCAGCCAACATCAAGTTCCGAGCGGGAAACAGAGATTTCTCAAAAAAGTTCGAGAGTTTCCCTGATGGGCCTTCGTGAAGCATGGTATCTTCATGGCTTTCATACTTACCTATTAATCCAGGAACTTATCCATGGCTTAACTTGAAAACCACGCATCTCGGTTCCCAACGTTTCAGGTATCTGCCGTCTTAAGGAAAAACGCCGTATGAACATTCGAGAGTTGCCAAAGTTCCTCCGATAAAATGTTTATTTTTCAGAAAAGTTATCAATATTTGTCCTTGAAATTGTTACAATATTTGGATCAAATTACGGACGAAATTCTCCGAGAAATTGAAAGAAAAATGTTTATAGATATTCCCATAAATTCGTGACCCTGGTAAAAATTGGCAGTAGAATTTGTGTTCCAAAATACCATAGACCTACAGCCGGCTGTAAGATTTCTAAAAGCTTCTATAGCCGGATACACAATTTCTTATAGCCTTTTATAGCCGATGGCGATTAAGCAACAGCCAGACGATAAAGTGTATACTAAATGTTACCAATTACGGATGCTAGGACTTAGTGAGTTTTTGGACTACCGCTCTCTTTTTGGGCCGTAGTATCTTGATTTATTTTGCGAGGAAAGCTCCGTACTTTTGATGGATGCCTGACATTCCTAATATGTTAGCGCGCCTTCAATTTCGTATGATACTTTGCAATACCTCTGGTGTGAAATAGTTGCTTCAAGCGCCGTGGCACGCTGCAGCGCGGCGGTGGGCGGCCATCGCTAAACGCGTATTGGCGCCTACAAACCTAACGAGGATACTTCATGCATTGCGCAATGCGTGAAGTATCCCTGTTAGGTTTGTAGGCGCCAGTGCGTTGCCTCTCCGTTTTGTGTTAGGCTCTAACATTTAATCTGGCGGGGTCAGCGTTTTTCAACTCATGATTTTGAAATGTTTGCACACTCTGTATGGATTATTCTCATTTTAATTGATTAAAAAAAAACATGTACTAAAGGAAATATAATGTGTGTTTTGTAAATATTAAGGTGGTTCCGTATCAAACTTAATGATTTTCAAAGCACGCAAATTTCTACACAATTTCTTATAGCCTTTCATAGCAGATGGCGATAAGGTGTATAATCTGCGATAGGAACTATAGCCCGCCTTCATAATTTTTTATCGCTTCGTATAGCCCGGCCGTAAGATTTTTTCCGCTTTCTACAGCCAGCTGTATGATTTTCTATCGCCTCCTTTAGCCGGCTATAAGAACTCTTATAGTATTTTGAAACGCAGCTCCTATCGCCAATTTTTACCGGGGGATTTATCAAAGAAAATTTGGCAATGCCTAAAAGCCAATGCGGCATTTTTCCTTAGCACGGCAGAATTATGGACGGCCCCCAAAATTAAATTATAAAATAAACCATGAAAAATTTGCAACACCGCAATCGAGGTACGTGGTCTTCGAGTTCCGCCATCGATGAGTTGCAAAGACTGAGGGGGGGGGGGGGTGACAACATTAAAGGGGGAGAAGCGGAAAGGAGGGACGTACCTGTGTGATAGGGAACGGGCGAGAGTTGAGCATTATCGAGGGCCGATGGACTGGCTGCGCTTAGTTTATGAATTTCTTGCATGCTAATCGGGGCCAATGGTGTCACTCCACTCACTGTTATAACACATGCACACATAAAACATACGATGATGCAGTCGCAATTTAAACACATACAGGAAATAAAAATCAAGCCAGGATGCATCAAATGCAAACTCATTTAAGTCATCAACATCCAAATAATTGATTAATGCACTTGCATACCAACGACAGCAACTTCTTTTTTTTCCAATGAGTTTCCCGATAAATGTATGAGTATTGAATATTATGAAATTGAACTGGGGGGCTTAGAGGACAAGACGCATAAGTGCAGTTTTTGAAAATTTTGAAATATTCATGAGCTCAAAAGTATATTCTGTGAAAAATTCACGGCTGGAATCCAACTTTAAAGCATCAAAAAGTGAGTTTAAACTTCCTATCTGCCATAAGGCTCCATGTAATTTCGAAACACTTTAAAGACGTATTTCTTGAAATAGCAAAAACTGCACTTAAGCGCCTTGCCCACAAGCTCCTTAATCGATCTCCGATATTGAAAAGAGAGTGAAGGAGGGGTATCGATAAGGGTCGTTTTTGGGCCAACTCCAGCTGAATTTCCTCTAGGTACTCCACGATTTTTTGCCCCCTGAACGTCTATATTTTATGGAATGCTTCATGATTTGGTCATCGTCCGTCTCTTTTCAGGTCTAAAACTGGCTCATATATGGGTCTGAAGGCCGATTTTGGAGAAAAATTTGGATTTTTTGACGTTCGACTGCACAACTGCATTTTCCTCCCAAATCGGCTTTCAGACCCATGTTTAAGCCGATGTAAGATTTGAAAAAGAGACCGAAACCGACCAAATTGGAATGCATTTTATAAAGTATAGACCTTCAATGAACAAAAATCGTAGAAATGGGGAAATTCAAAGTAAGCCCCAAAACAGCCCCTATTGATACCCCTCCCCAGAGGAAGGTAACGAGATGTATTGAGGAAAAATGTTGGACAGTCGTAGTGAGTCATTTGAGGGTCCTTATATTACATGGTCACAGGTTATTTCGACCCAGTTCCAGAAATTCAAGCAGGAAAACATATAAGACTTTTTTCCCCGAATAAAACGTGGGAAAGAGGTTCATTTTACTAATACCTTCATCGCATGCTGTCGTCAGCACACAAAATAATTCAAACACTGCAAAATGCAATTGTAAAACGTTAGCAGTTATACTGAAAGCCAGAAGTCAAAATCAAAACATCGATATAAATAAGCAAAACATGTACATATGCTTACAATCCAATTTCTAATGAACACAAGACAATAGAATGAAAAAATTAACCATCTAAGAAGATATTCAAAGCACTGAGCTCTTCTAAGAACGTTTTAATTTAGAATAAGTACTTGGGTACTTAAGGTAATTCATTTATGGAAAGAAAAAACATTCAAAAAATAATTTTCAGGTACGATAATGTAAAACTACCCATGATTTGTTAATTCATTCAATGGAAAGGGGTTAAGGATCGAAGCAAACTCTTAATGTAGGACTCTGGATGAAAGCATGGTTAAATGCAGGTTTGATTTTTTAGCTTACGTCTGTTACGATTCCCTGCATCTACGTGCTACCAGTAATATTCTTTTTCCTTTTTAAATCATACTGTAGCTATAGTTTCTCCTCTCGCTCTGTGATTTCATACAAAATTTCGTAGCTCTTGGTGCTCGTACATTAATAATCATAAGTATTCATTTCTAAAAAGTAAATCTCTTCAAAAAGTTTTAAAATTATGGTTTCGTGAGGGCTTTTGCGGTGTCGATACTAAATTTTGAAAGTTAGAACTGTAATTCTGCTCAATAATTCTCGCATTTGTGGAAAAATTTCCCACGGGAAGGCTATAATAACGAAAGTAATGGCTCTCGACGTCACACTTTGCCGCGCCGTGCCGGGAGTGCTGATACCACTATTCCTGCTCTTAGAAATGCGCGTTGCATACTCGCTCAATTGAAGGCGATTTTTGACGGGGTTATGCGGCTGGTACTCGGAGCCCTTATCAAGCTGCTGAGTCAAAAGCCTTCTGACTTCTGAGATTTTGGAAACCATTGCGTTCATTTAGTTCCCTATATAACAGGCTTTCCTTTAAATTGATATAGTTGTAGCAACATTCACTGAAGGAGAACGAAACCTTGACGGTACTTTGAATACTTTTTTTGTCAATCCCTCATACCTTGAACTTTTGAAGGAACTTATTCAAGACATCATGAATTAGTTAATCGAATTAATTTAAAATTTGATGAGATTTATATTCCAAACGGTCAAATATACGCAGATCACTTTAGGGATATTACAGAGTTGTTGTCATCTAAAACTTGAAAGAAGTGATTTTGAAGTTTCATCTATAGTCACATTCTCATAAAGTTTAAAGGTTGATAAACTCAAAGTTTCACAACTCTTCCGTGTGACCGGAAAAATACGGTATGAAAATTAAGACGTTACCAAATTTCCTCTGATAAAATACGAACTTTTTAGAAAACTTATGCATTTTTTTCGATTAATTTTTTTTAGAGAATGACATTCATTTGATCGAGGGAAACTTTGATGATAAAAAGCTACAAACTGCATTCCTCGGAAAGGGACAAGAAACTCATGCTTGAATCCTTTACGCCTTGTCTCCACGGGATGTTTCACGGGATTTTTCCCATGTTCGAATCGCAGGAATGAAACTTCTGGGTTTTTTTCCCGTTAAAAACACAACAAAATTTCTTCTTCCTCTTTTAACGTCATTTCTGGGACTCCCCGAGGACTCTTAGTTGGCACTGTGATTAGTATTGACTATAACTAAATATTTTTTCCAACTTCGCAAGTGAGATTTTTCCCTGGGACAAATCCCATGAAACGTCCCGTGGAGACAAGGCTTTAGAGGGAGGTATGGGGGGGGGGAGAAAAAACATGGTGAGGTTAGGAGGCTAGAGACAGGGAGTGCGGCATGAAAGCGAGCGGAACTTACTGAGGGACGAGGGTATGGGTGGAGTGTAGACTGGATTACTAGAGTGAGCTTGCTGAGTCATTGATTCGTAAAGTTCCGACGACGAAGTGGTGGCCGAGAAAGCTGTCTGCGTGTCGTAGTAGGGCGAGCCTCCATTTTGGGGTCCACCCCCGCTGCCCCCTCCACCGCCGCCTCCGCCTCCACTCAGCTCGGAAAATAATTTATGCTCCTCCTTGATACACCATTTTCCTGACCATAGCTGCAACACACCAAAAGCCTTCTGTCATTTTCATCATTTTACCTAGAGTCCCTCTATAGACAACGCGGTTTACGGATGTCACAAACGGTAATGAAGATTACACAAATCGGACGTTTTTTGTAATCTTCGATCAGCCCATTCCCGAATTCCTATTTCCGTTCCCTCCTTCATTTCATTTGTTCCTTCCCGTATCCCCAATGCCCTGGTCCATTCCAATTATAATCTTTGCAATTGATGAAAATGTAATCTTTCTTCCCGTTTGTGACATTGTGAAGGCCTAAAATACGGGAACCAAACAGAAATGGATTCGCATTGTCTTGACTCTCAGTATAAAGGGACTCTACTTTTACCTTGAGGGAGCGTTCAGAAAGTGCGTCACGCTTTTTTCCGAAATTTTTATTCNCCCCCCCCCCCTTGTAACGATTCGTAACGCAATCTCAGACCCCCCATAAACACTTGACGGACTTGACTTATTTATTTCACGTAAGATCCCAAATATTGAGGGAAACTTTTGAGCATATGGATGGATAAAATCTGAATTATTTTAAATCATTTTGTGACAAATATTGTCAAAGAAACGAGGATAATACCAGCGAAAAATTTCTCAAAATTTTGTATGTTTGAGCCGGATTTGAAATCTCATAAAGGAGCTTTTAAAAATAGACTCGTTTACGTTTTTATCGACAGAAATATGATTCCTTTCCGTCCATCTTTCCTTATAGTGGGTTGAATGTTGAATTGAAATCCGGCAAGAACTAAAAAACAGGCAAGTAAACTATTCTCTTTTATATGGAATTATCAGAGCCTCTGGAACTGAGTAGACATAAGACAAAGTAACTTAAACTGAGACGAAAGTATGGTTCAAAGTGGAATTCTGTTCCTATACTTCCATGTTCTCACGGACAATCAGTTCGGCTATTTTAATTTTTTTGGAAAAATAAATTCGAAAACTTACATTTGAATAAAGAGGATCACCATTATATTGAGCATGGAGTCTTTGTCTCTTTATGTCTTCTTCAGGTAGTCCGTTGATATCTCGATTTTCATCTGCAAAATAAATCGGAACATGAGGTGATAAGAGATTTTAAACGTTACACTATTTGTCATCGAATGATGCTCCATTTAAAATTATCAATACAAATCGTCAGGTTTGCACACTGTTAAAAAAAATTAGCTCAGAGCACGACCTATATAAGGAAGTCGCTCGGAAGTCACTCATCGCTCAGGGCCAATTTCCACGGAGTTGAAAATCTTCGACGTAAGTATGGAAATGCTGAGCTAAAGTAACTCAGGCATAAGGACGGGCTGCGTCGCTGGCGACTGCCCTCCCCTTACCCCTGGCATCCGTCTCATACCCCTATCCGTTTCCCCCCTCTCCTCCCCTCCCCTCCCTCTCCTCCCTCCCTCTTCTGCCTTTCCCTTCCACCTGTAACTGCAATGTATGTTCTTTTTTTTTGAAAAGATGTGAAGTTGTACTGCAAATCAAATCATGTTTGAGGAACTTTCGGGCCAATATCCCACAAATTCGGAGCCAAAGTGTTTTTTGAGTTGCAAACACGCGACGGAAAATCAATATTTGTCATAGCTGAACAGCTGTCTCCAGTAATTTCGAAAACGCTTTTAGACAAAGAAAAGTTTTATAGATATTAAGTATTTTGTGAACATAAATTCAGTGTAAGCTTAAAAAATAAATATACACGATAACAGAATTCTAACTTTACTGGACGCCACGCCATACCCATATAATCAGGTTTTGATGCCCAAAAGTATCATACGAGCTAAAAAGAATAAATGACAATTTCGTAGAATTATACTGCAAAATTTTATTCAATACACCTGAGGTTTTTCGGCATACAGTGCCATCTCCAGACGCATAACGAACCTTCACCAAGGAAACTACAGATACTTGACAAGGAAGTACAACTAAAAGCAAATAATCCATTAACGGGAGCAACATGATGGTTTTAAATAGGGAATAATCTAAATAAACTACCATGCACATGCAAATCAACAAGCGATAAGGAATGAAGCGATAAAAGAGAAAGAGATACAATTTTGCAGTATAATGGTACGAAATATGTATTTTTCCTCTTAAACCTAGTTTCATAAAACTGCTGCCCTTACCGGCGTTTTCAAAATTCCTGGAGGTATAGGCTATTCTACTAGGACGAATTTTTATTTTCCGTCGTGTTAGGAACTCAGCGAACACTTTGGTATGGGATCCATTGGGTATTATCCTGGAAAGCCTTCAAACAAAATTTAATTTGCTGTACACCTTCACGAGTCGCAACTAATCACTGTTCACGCAAAAGCCACTGGCTGGAGACTGACGCCGTCGCAGTCGTGAATTCCAGAATAAGATTGTAACGGTCAATGCGCGTTGATGATGCGCAGAAAATTATAGCTCTGTTTCTTCTTAAGTATCTTAAATCTGAGTGGAAAGTATCTCTCCCGAGCATATAGCTGTCTTTCCTGGAGTGACACATGCTACAAGGAGCTTCCCATGCCAGAGCGAGCTATCTAACTCACCGCAAAATTTTGTCACTCGATGCTCCAGGCAGGATAGCTCCATAATATTTCACTCAGGCCAGAATAATTTTTAACAGTGCAGGTAGCAGAAGTTCACGAAACTTGGCGCGAAAGTTAAGTTTCGTAAACCTATCTCTGTGTGGACAAGGCCTTCCATTCATAAAAAATGAACGAAACAATTATGAAAGAACAAACATAAATGTGGATTAATGATTTTAACTTCCGCCGCCGCGCCTCGCAGACCGCACTGTGTTTGACGCAATGCGTGAAATATTCGCTAAGGCGCTATGCGTCTCACGCTGATCGTAGTGTGTTTGCCGCAATGCGTGAGGTATTCATGCATTCTTGTAGGCGCTATCCGTTTCACGCTGTCCGCAATGACCGCACTGTGTTTGATGCAATGAAGTATGTGTGCAGTCTTGTAGGACTCTTGTATCACTGAAAGCCGATAAAAGTAGAAATTACTATACTCTCAGAAAATTAGAGATTCTGTCGCCTTTTCTCGTTTGTAATTTTTTTCTCTAAATCCGAATTTTTTTTATACCTACATCTGAAAAAATTGCAAAATTCGTCGCCCCCTGTAGATTTGCCGCCATGGGCCGCGGCCCATGTGGCCACCCCCTTAATCCGACCCTACATATCGTCGCATAATGTCCAAGAAGCAGCAAAACCGCATATCACGATTTTCGGCATTGTGAACTTCCTGTCTTACTTTAATTTTCAAATGGAAAAATACGCAGCGTAATTTTTTCATGAGTCCAATTTCGAATTTTGTAATCGAATTCACGGATAGTTGTTGCAGGTTGCATGCATAGCCCCTAAACAATCACTGAAATTTTATAAGTAGTGAGAGTTCATTTTGTATCTCTGGGCATGAGACACTGTACAGGTTAAATGGTTTAAGAGAAGGCTCCGTAATGTAAAAAAAAAAAAAAAAAAAAAAAAAAAAAAAAAAAAAAAAACTCTGAATCGCACGTAGAGTTGAATTGATGCCAGACTACAACAAGTAATCAAGCAAACTATGAGACATGAAGGAGGGGCAGTGGGGGAGAAGGGGGTGAATGAAAATGCATTCCAGGGCAGACGAGACGAGGTGAGGAAGGAGGGTGGGGTGCCTCTCATCCCCCTGCCGGTAAAAGTCATACATCAAAAACACTAGGTTGAATGGTGACTTAAATATGTATTCGTGTATATATCTATTGACGCACTCACACGGACACAGCGGAGGACGCACACACGGGCGACTAATGTATATCCAAGGGGTATAATCTAATTTCGAGGCGCTCAATGTGCCTCCCCCTCTGTTTTGTTGTAACGCACTCTGGGGACCTTTTCACCCCTTGCTCGTCGGGAGCGCAATCTAATCACTGCAGCAGCGCCGCCGCCGCCACCGCCGCAGCCGTGCAATAGTTAGTAGCCTTCCCGCTCTCGAGCACAGTCTATCTATTTCCCTGTTTTTACTCTCTGTCCATGAGACCCGGGATCATACTTTTAATGCCGCTTCACGTAGTCGACGCCCACCAATGTAGAGCATTCCGCCCATTTTTCTCTCTCTCTTCTTATTAATTCTTTTTTGCTTACTCTTATTTCCTTCTTGAGGGTGAAAAGAGAGGATAACGATGCCCAACCCATGACCGAAGTAAAAGTATAGGCAGATAAGGATAAAACAGCTGTGTCCGTCTTTTATAATTTTGAGAAAATTGCGGAAAACTCTACAAGCTTTTCAATTCTGACGTTGAAAAAAATTCAATTAAGGAAGGTCAATTGTAGGCTTTTCCAGTTAAAGGACGTGCGAGGCTCGGAATGCTACTAAGATTGTGCAACGGAGATCTCCAATTTCAAGTAGCCTATCCGTAAGATCTGCCAACAAATCTCCGAATCTGCTCCGAATTCATCCCACCATTGCGTGCATGAAAATAAAGTCGACCGTGAATGAGTTTCAAGCACGCAAAATCCATGAAAAATTTCACAATTTCAAGAGCATTGCAAGCCTCAAACGCTCTTTTACCAAAGGTATCCTCTATTATTACAGGAGTGGATTATAAATAGGCCTCCTCTAGCCACAAAGGTTTCATTATAAAAAAAGGTGATTGGACATCAGGGCCACGTGAAAATATTCTTCCTCACGTGGTTTCATTATTAAATACGTCTGATTTTTGCTTATTTCAAACCTCGTTTTGACCTCTTTTAATAGATATAATTATGTTATATTGTTGATATACCATTAAAACTTTTCACTACCCGACCAGAGTATTACACTGAAAAAAATACTCCGGTTGTGGAAGCCGTACTTACAGGCTATACGAATATGCCGTCCGCGTTCCGGGCTCAGAGGCCGAAAGTTTCGGGTGTAGCACCCGGAGCTGTCGCATCTACGGATTCCATACCCGGAACTTTGGGGCCTCTGAGCCAGGAACGGACGGTATGTCTATATAGCCCGTAACTTTTTTTTCAGTGCACAAGCGCCAATCGGGCTAAATTTTTCGGGAACTACTGTTTGTTCCTGGCTCATTTTTAAAAACCAACAAATGTGCCATTAATTTCCCTATATGTGCTTAAAATAATCGCAATATGAAAAAATTAAAGTAAAGAACAATTAAAAGTTGGCTCCTCGTGACAGACGCAACGAAAAATAAAAGATTGGATTGGGACGACCTCATGCTCCAACCCAATGTGGTCTGCGCATCTCAGAGCAGAAAGACGGGGACGGAATGAGAGTGCGGTGTGCCCTGCGCAAGGGATCGTGAGAAGGCTCGGACTCGGGGACAGCGCGGAAAGCGTGGCGCGGTGGCGGACGACATGCCGGACAGGACAGGACAGGGACAGGGACATAGGGACGGAGAATAATGGGATTGCAGGTGATAGAGTTTATAAATCCGTCCGGTAATCCGTATGTATTGCGGCACATGCCGCTGCTTTGTTGACTCTTCATTGTCCACTCAAGAATGGCTCTTGGCAAGGGACAATGAGGCTGTGCGGGAGCCGAGTGTTTTTCCCCGCCGCCTATTAAAGAGCTTGAGTATCGCTCATCCTCAAATCCCGGCCACAGGAGCGGCGCCTCCATCATTTTGTTACAATATATCTTTGGGAACTACGTAAAAAATGAGAATTGCGTATTTCTCGTTTTTCATTCGTCACATTTTAGCTGAGACATATTCCTCTCATATCAAGTGACTACGGGTAGGTTTCCACATGCTTAGAAAATTTGTCGAGCGAAAATTCTTCAATTTTTGACGCCAGGGCCCTTTTTCTGTAAACGGCCACGAACTTTCATTCTGTACGTTTTTCGCAGGACAATAGTCAAATCCACGCATTTTATAAAATTTCCAGGCAGGGTAGTCAAATTTTGAAAGTTGTCGGAGTTTTGGCTCTCTAATTTTCAGTACTATGAAAGTGAGAATCAAGGAATTTCAAGCCATGGTATCCTTTTACTTCCATAAAAAAAAAAAAAAAAAACCTTTCATATTTGGAGACTCAGTCTTCTCCTAGTCTACAATATGAGTTTTGATTCGCGTGACGTGTCGTCGATATTATTTGGACGTATTTATGCTAAAAGGAACTATGTGCATAGGGTTTGTGTGCAACATAGTTCCTTTTAGCATAAATACTTACGTCCATTTCACACACAGAGTTTCCCCGGTCGCCGTTGATACTGGATTCTCGGCGCCGGCGCTTGAATACAACTATCACTGCATAATAGACGTCCAAATTGCGTGCAACAAAATGAAGGCTCACACTTGCTTCACGTAACTCCGGAGCGAGTTTTGACAGGCTGCAAACAGTATCCGTTGCCTCTCTTCTATTCCAATCTTGAATGAATGTGACAGCCACGTTGATTGACGTTCTTTATTTCTTGAAGGTCACTCTTTTCTTTCGAAACAAAAACCCGTAACATTTGTGATGGCTACAAACCTTCCTCACACTCTTCTCTGAAGTTTACTCCGACATGAACTTTCGGTTTGGGATACAGCGTGATCTCCTCCGAGTTTCAAGTGACACCATTTGAAATGCACAGGGAAATAATAGCTTTTAAACTTGATTGTAATGATAAGGGGAATAGAGGTCCTTTCAAAGGGCTCGAATCATCAGGGACCTAACATTTCAACTAACGTTCCTCTTGTGCCGTCTTTCCCTTCCACCCTTAACAATTTATTAAGCGCCCTCCCTTCGCCCTCCATCGTTTCCCGGATAGCTCCGATGCAATTGATTAAATAAGTCAATGCTCGTCGAACATGATAGCTTCGCGATATAGCGGCCGAATTGCACCTCAAATCTGCCGTGCTAAGGAAAAACGCCGTATGAACATTTGAGAGGTGCCAAATTCCCCTCGATAACATGTTATTTTTGAGGAAAATTATGAATATTTTTTCTTTAAATTTTCAGTATCTTTGGGTGAAATTGCGAACAAAATTATCTGAAAAATTGGGAGGAAAATATTCATAAGTTTACTAGGAAATTCGGCAACGCCTGAAGGTCAATCGGCATTTCTCTTTAGCACGGCAGAAAAAGACGTTCCCATATCCATATGCTGATTTTGAAGCCGAGCAAGAAATATGCTTAAATCCAGTGGGAAGGCGTCAATGATCGCTCATCAATATTTAACCATTTGAAGCTAGGGTAAAAAATCGATTATTGAAGTGTCCATTGTCAACGCCTTGTTTATCGATCCTTTTCCATAGGTTTGAATGGCAGACCAATCGATGTATCGCAAAGCACACCACACTACGCCACTACTTTGACAAACCGCTCATAAAGTCGAGCAATTGTCGCATTTCTTAGTTGGCGCCATAATCAAATACAAAAGTAGCTAAAACTATGATTTCTGTTTCTAACAGAAGTGAGTAAATTAACCGTGGTTGGACGCAATACGAATTCTACGTCATTCGGTGTTTGGAACTGCAAAAAAAAGACATATAAGTTTCAGTAGTATAGGGAATGATCTAATGTTAAACCACCATACTGCGAGGGCGTGTACAATGGGTCTAAGTAAGACATTTTTCTTCAATGAAAAGTTCTCCGTATGTGGTTTTTAAGGGATCAACAGCCCCCATGCCCCCTTAGAGTTTTGGGATATAAATAGTTTTTTCCTATATTTTGGCGACGGTAATGCATAGAATCTCATGAAAATTGGAATGTAGTCATAGTTTGATACGCTAAATCCATCAGTGCCATTACAGGTAGAGAGGATAATTAACTTCTAGTCAATTAGAGTCTCTTTGGAGTCAATTAAAGTCATTTAGGATAAGTTAGGGTCAAACGAATCGAACTCTAATAACTTTGGGAAGAAGAGTAAATATTTACTTAATCTCATTTTCAATATAAGAACACGCAAAATATGGTTATTTTTAACAGTGAAGGTGAAGCACGCATATTTTATCGGTTGTCTAGGGGGAAAAAAGGAGAGGAAAAATCGGAAGCTGTGAAACGCTGGTAGGGATGCGGCAAACACATGGAAAGAATGAAGACAGGACGAGGCAGAAAATAGCAGGTAAAGAAAAGCCGGAGCCAGAACCAGGAGGAGAGGAGAGCCCCCCTCCCCCAGCTCGTGGCCGTAAAAAGAATAGAGAGAAGCTATTCGGAACTTCTCGAGTGCGGAAGAGGTGGAAAATAGAGAGGAAAATTAAAGGAGCTCAGAAGTACGTTACTCACACATCCGCGTTAATCTACTCACTGGTGGGAGTGTTGGTGCGCGTATAAATACGCTATAACTGGAAAGTTAAAAAGAGTAAAAAGGGATGCGGGGTAAAGGGAGGGGGAGAGATTGAGGAGAGTGCTGAGGGCGGGAAAGGAGGGGAAAGGAAAACTTCTGGCCGAGGCTCGGGCGCTCCGCGCTCGGAAAAAGAGGAAAAATGGGGAATGAGACGGGGCCCGGGCAAAGCCGGCAGAGCCTCATTCAGGGTAAATTCGCGCCGGGATCATGACTCGGACACAGTGGGACACAGTAACTCAGGATCTGTCGCTTGGAAAATTTTTCAATTTCCTATCCAAATCAATTGAGTTTAGGTCTCTTGCATCTATGTCTCTATTCGTTTTAATTAATTATTTTGAATTCTTCTATTTTTTCTTATTTTTTACCAATTTTTTATTTTTTCAACATTTTTGTTTGTTTGTTTATGTATTTCTTTAAATTTTTATGCTACTTTAAATGTCCTCTTTCGCTACCGAGGACCCGTTTTTCCTTAGCACGGCAGTACGTGTTGGTGTCAGAGATCCGCGAAAAAAAGGTGTTTTGGAGGTTTTTTTTCTCGGATCTTGACCACCAACATGTAGGTCTCAAGTTTTTTAATCGATATTTTTAAATTTTCATTGTATTTTCAGACTGACAATTACTCGGTTTTGAGTCGAAACGTCTCAGGCATTGCATTGTTAAATTTTAGCCTTGTTCCCCGTTTTTCCCCTTGTTTTCCTCCTGTTATCATTGTCTCGGGTTGCTTCGTAAAAGTTCGTATCTATACTGTGTATCTAGATAAATTGTTTTCGTTTTGACTGGTTCGGGTCGACTGTGCGAAGGAGGTTGGTTCACCGGTGGAGGGTGGAGGCTTTCCAGGGAGAAAAGTGGGCGCAGCGGTTTGAAAGCACTTTACATTCCTCCTCGTCATAGGAGGGAGGAAACGCAATGGAGCGTTGCTAGGTTACAATACAGCCAGTGCCGTCTTGATATTTTGTTCCTGGGCGGGGAGCAAACGCAATCTTGGCCACTCTTATGTAAAATATGACTCATTTTAAAGCCCGCCAGCACTCAAAAAGATGAAACGACTCCCTCCGCCACGGAATCAAATCTTTCAGCCACAATTGAAGAGTTCTTTGAGCTCCGTCGCCCGTCACCACCCAGCATTCCTATTCGTGTTCCTGTCCCTATTTCTCTCTCCTTTTCTTCACTTTTCTTTGATTTTTTTCAAATCCTCGCTCACCTCGTTTTGACACGGGTATGTTTATCGGCTAAGAGCCGTTACATTTTTTCACTATTCTTTATCTCCCCCTTCCTGCTTTACACAGCAGTTTAACAGTTTCCCCTCAAATGCATATTGGCGTCAAAATTTTAAGCATTTCGTAAAGCAGGCAAAAAAAAAATCGGATTTAGAAAAAAAAAATTACTAACGAGAAAAGGCGACAAAATCTCTCATTTCCTGAGAGTATAGTAATTTCTAATTTTGTCGTCTTTCAGTGATACAAGAGACAGCACCTTCAATTAGTCGAGTTAAGAGAAAAACCAAACACGCAATTCGGCCTGGAACGGGCGCGACTTAGAGAGAAATGATGACGAGGACTTCAGATGAAAAGGAGAAGCCCTCGGCGCGGCGGTCGGCATGTAACACATATTAGCGCCTACAAGACTGCGCGAATACTTCACGCATTGCATCAAACACAGTCCGGTCATTGCGGTCAGCGTGAAACGGATAGCGCCCACAAGAATGCATGAATACTTCACGCATTGCGGCAAACACAGTGCGATCAGCGTGAAACGCATAGCGCCTACAAGACTGCGTGAATACTTCACGCATTGCGTTAAACACAGTGCGGTCTGCGAGGCGCGGCGGCGGAAGTTAAAATCATTAATCCAGTCTTGCTGCTAGATGTAATAATTTGTTGCTTCGAGGAAAGAAACTTTAGCGATTTCGATGCGATAACTATTCGTGCTTCTAGGTACGTGTTTTTGCCTATGTACCAATATGAAGGAGAATCTCTGCGCTTTATGCCGCACGAAATTATCGCTGCGCGGAAATAAAATCTCATGCTTTCTATGTAATACCTTCACTCATCCCACCCCCTTCCCCAATTCACTCCAAATTGCAAGAGATTATTCTGACAAGCCCACTTGAAGAAAATAAAACGTAATCTGAGATTTTCAATCGTTGCAATGGACCAAAGGAGATAAATAATAGACCAACTAACGGCAACCCACGAGAGACCCGACAGGTAGTCCATCATTTCCCCCGTAAGTCTATACGAGAAGCACCCGTCTCAACCAATAGGATCGCTCCATACTCTACGTCTTTTTTGTTTATAGCTTTGTCTATCAACTTCAATATCAATCAGTCCCCTGGTCCATAGAGATAGGAATTTTCGCATTTAGCCATAGATGTGTTGATGGAGAATTGAAGAGGATACTCACCGGAATGATGATGGTGGTGGTGGTGATGATGGTCCAGATCCCTTTTCCTCTTGCTGACGGAGACGCTGGTGGCAGGGTCGTGCTGAGGGATCCCTAGGATTCCGTTGATGGAGTATCGGTCGTGCTGACTCGCCGGGGCGTGGGCTATCACACTTACCCCGCTCCCCGCGTTCGTCGCACTTCCATTGTTATTACTACTAGTGTTGTTATTTGAGCTCGTGTTGTTGTTGTTGTTATTACTACTACTCGTGTTGTTGTTCGTACTGCTCGAGTTATTGTTGTTGTTATTATTTTGGTTACTACTGTTGTTATTGTTGTTGTTATTGCTACTTTGTTGCTGAGACTGTTGCTGGTGGTGGACGTGTTTTGCCTTCTCGGCCGCTTTATTTCTAACAATCCTGCAACAAAAACAACACGGAAACATGTCAATAATGGTCAAAGCCAACTAGCGCAACATGCATTCTCAGAAATGTTCAAGAGCGATGCACTAACCGCGTAAAGCGTCGATTTAAATCCTAGAACCACCCATTTCAACCAATAGAATCGCCCCATACCCCTGATGTTTTCTTTGTCTATTGCTTCGTACATAAATTTCAACAATTATTTCGCTGGAGTGTGTGAGTTACCCTCTGAAGCCAATGCTCAAATTCGCCAAAAAATGCGACTGATCACTAAATAGTTAAGCAATTTTTTTTAGCTAAAAGGCTAAAACCTAATTTGGACTACAAATTTTAATGAAAAACTACAGTTGCTGGCTCATCTGTAAGAACACTTATGTGCATGGGGAAACTAATGGTATGTACGTTCTTCCTAAACCGAGCTAGATATTGTAGTTCCTAATTGCAAAATGTAGTTCATTTAAAAAAAAAAAAAATTCACGCAAAGTGCTCCACTCGAAATCATCTATTCGATCCTTCATTACTTGGCAAATTTTATGCGCGAAGGTTTCTCATGAATCAGGGGTCAAACTTGCTTTTATTTTTTGAAAATTTGCCGGGATAGGCCACCCGGACCCTTATTGGTGCATATAATTTTCCGCCATCACGATCATCGGAGAGGCAGGAAAACTCTACTCGCCTCGGGGCGGGAAAAAGTCAAATGCGGACGTGTCAGAGATTGAGGGTAGTTTTTGCCAATCACGGCGTGATGCATACCCCCCACAGTTTAAAATTTTGATTATCCAGGAAGCGCGGGTGAAAGCCTCGGGAAAGTCATAGAAAACTGAATGGTGGTTGTTTTATAGGGGTTCGGGGGAGGGCGTCGCATGGGTGGCTCTGCTAATGCGGACGCTCCGACAATGAGCACATGAAAATCAATCAACTTTCTAGCGGCTCCTCAGCTCGCCCGCCACCACGACAGTCTCGATGAATTCGTTATTTGAGCCCCAACGTCGTCGATCGGGCGGACAATGGCCCGGCCCCCGTGACCAAACTTGGCAATAAACCCTGTCGTCTATATGACTCAATGCTTTCCCGGGCTCATCGCCGAGTCAAGTTGCGCTCTTTTGTCAAGCGTGCGACGATTCGGACGCTATGCGACGCGAATTCACAACAGGGTCGAGTTACGGACGGTTGAAACTTTGAATTTCTATCAGAGCCGCCCCCTCCCCGTTTTGGGACCGAAGCTGACTGAAAGTTGATAATTAATCGTTGGCGCCGGAGCGCAAGTCTGCATTTTCGGTTCCAAGGGGCTAGCTTTGTTTGTCCAAGCTCCAAGTTGGAGGATCTGGAACTACGGAGTTGGGCAGACGGAGCGGTTAGCGAGTATGTCATATTCTTGTCTGGTTATGGGCCATCAACTCCCATTCAACGTTCGGCGCTCACCGGCGCGGGCCACCATTCACCGGCGCGGCGGGGCAATTTGCCGCCGGGCTGCCTAATGACACGGGGCTGCACACTCATCGCTCCATTGTTCCGGACGGTGTTTAATTGTCGTTGTTGCGTATCGATTTGAATTTGTCGACGCCTTCGCTGCTCCTGTCTCTGTCCCTGCGCCTCGGCAGCCGACCGAACCTGTCCCTGTCTGTCCCTGTCTGTCGTGCAGCTCTGCATTAATCACCCCCGCTCGATCCCTGCAAGGCAACCGCCAGTGTAGCTCAGCCCAGCGTTTCGTTTTGCTCCTTGCATGCTCCCAGAGCTCTAGCATCGCCCATCCAGTACTCTGACGTGCCAAGGAAAAACGCCGTATGAACCTTCAGGCGTTGCCAAATTTCCTTTGATAAATCACAAATTCTCGAGAAAATTTGTCAATATTTGTCTTCCATTTTCCTTATAATTTCGTTTACAATTTCACCTAAAGTTTCTGAAAATTTCAAGGAAAAATATTCCTATAGCTTTCCTAAAAAATAAGCAATTTAGCGATGGAAATTTGGCAACTCTGGAATGCCCGCACGGCGTTCTTCCTCAGCGAGACAGCACTAGGGAAGAACTCCGTAAATGCATTCGAGAGTTGACAAATTTCCCCGGATAAAACATGTATTTTAGAGTAGAGCTGTGCATAGTTTTCCTCGAAATTTGCAGATATTTTGAATTAAATTGTCATGTATCGTAAACGCAAAAATGAGAGTTAGCAGAAGTTAGCAGGTACGACAATCTTACTTAATACCGGCCAATATGGAAATGAAAAAGACCCCTTCTATATAATTGAAAATCAAATTTGTGGATTTTAAAATCATCCAAACAAGTTCTGAGAGTCTTTCGGATGATTGACGGGAATCTGACATAGAAGAGAGGCCTCTTCCAACAAAGTCCTCCACTCAGGCGCTACCGAGGCGATTTCCCGAAAATTATTTTTGGGAACACGGTAGGGCTCTCGTGGCAAAGACAGCAATGCACTTGCTCGACTCTCGGTAAAGGGATTTAGGGCGAGGGACTTGAGAGATAAGAGTGTGAGCGATGTAGGATGGCTCTATCTACTCGCGAGATCTAGGATGCGCATGTAGAACACATGTTACGCGGCTCGCGTTTCGCGCGGATCGCGGAGGGCGGCGGGGCGGGGCGGGGGGGGGGGGGGGAGGCTGGAGATACGGTGACAACAAGTGGCTTTGAGGCACCGGCCCGGATTAATGAGACAAATGTTTGGGCTTTGAAATAAAGCGACTGCGGTGGCGGTCGCACGGGAGCAGGGCCTCCTGCAAGAGCCGTAAGTACATGGCTGCATGAGCCGTAGTTAGCACACGCTCTTACGTGTCTCGAGGCTCATCCGAGACTCCACTTGTGGCTTTGCTCGGTGAAACGGCGGGAGAGGCGGGGAGAGGGCGTGGCGGGGGCACTTAGGTATCGCGAGGGCCGAGGGGTGAGGGACGAGGAGTGGCAGGCTAAAGATATCCAGATAAAAAGGCCCCCCCGTAATCCAATACCATTATTAGGGAAAGCGGGAGCACTCAGATAATCATTATTATCAATTTATGCGGCTTATCTCAAGTGCTAACAGGAGAGGAGTCTCCGATTGGTTGTTCCGCTAATCCAGTTATCATCCCCGCTCGACATCCAGGGGTGTCGCCGCTTCCAATCCGACCTGCGTTGCCTCGCTCTGTCCTCTGTCCCAACTCTCAGGGGTGCACCGCCTCATCGCAAAGAGGGCAGCCTCAACTTTACCTCTCCCTTCTTCTTCTCCTTCTCCTCTTTCTGCCTTTTCCTCTTCTCCTTCTTCTTCTTCTTCTTCTCCTTCTTCTCCTTCTTCTAATCCTTCCTCTTCTTCCTCTCTTTTGTCCGTTTTTCACTCTCATTCCTCTTCTTATTCTTCATATTCCTCTGGGTCCTATTCTTTTCCTTTCCTCTCTTCCTCTACCTTTCCGTATTTATCCTCTTCTCTTCTTTCTTTTCTCAGTACTATTTTCCCTTTTTCTTTATTTTACTTTTTCTTCGCTTCTATATACTCATTTCTTCCCCTTTTTACACTTTAGTCTGCTCGATCTTTGTCTCCTCCCCCTCCTTCTCATCTCTTTTCTTTTCCCTTCTGCCTTTTCTCTTTTTTCCTTCCATTTTTGCATTTCTTCTTTTCTAGATTCAAATCCGCTCTCTCTCTCTCTCTTTATCATTCTTCCTCTAGTTTTGTTCTAGGTTTTTTTTGTAATTTTTCTCATCAGCCTTTCCTTCTCCTTTTTTCAATTTTTTGTTCTTTTTCCTTTTACTCTATTTCTCTTCACCTTTTCTTCAGATTCTTGTCACTATTTTTTTTATCTTCTTCTTTTCCTGTGCTTCCTCCATTTTTTCACGTGAAAACTGGCGCCCAGAATGTTCTGAATGCTCTTCCTCTCCGGTTAGCAGAGAAAAGAGAGCCTTCACTAAAACTAAGCTAAGAAAAACTGAACGGTTCGCTTTGGTTCTCTACTGGCAATGACAGTTTTGGAGAGGGATGAAAGTTGGTGGTCCTTGAAAAAACGAGACTGTATGGGATGATCTAAAAAATTCGCACCACAAGCATCGGAGAACAAACCTTGTAACTTTTGAGCAGATTAAGATGGAGACTTGAACTTTCGTGGAGGCACCTAGATAAAAGGAAACTAACTTTGGCTCCGAAAAAAGAAATTCAGAAGAGATCAACCTGAAAAGGAGCACGAACCGCAAGGGTTTAAGACGTGGTGCGGGTCTTTTACAAATTGATCACCCTGTGGACTTGAATGCACTTGTATAATCACATCGAAAATTCGATAATTGATACTTGAAAAACCTCTGAAAAATATTTAAAAAATCCAGCCGACTTTGCAACGCTGAGAAAGAGTGACGGCTGGTCTATGAATGGCGCAGATTGTTTTGTATTTATTAAGCGAGTGAGGGGATGCGACCCTAGGCCACAAGTCGCTGGGCCGTTGATCCTTCTCAGTCCTCCTGTTTGTACCAGTAGCGGTTAAACCCAAGTAAAAAGCACGCGTCAAAGCACATACCGACATCAAAGCACACACCATATACAGCCTTCACTGTGTTTGATGTCTCAGTGATACAAATCTAAATGCTTCTAAGATGAAATTGCATAGCTGTGTATTTGAAGGCGAATCTGTCGGTCGTATACTGCCGTGCTATGGACGAACGCCGTAAGAGCTTTCAGACGTTTCCATATTTTCTTCAATAAAACTCAATTTACTAGGATCATTATGGATATTTTTCTTCAATTATTTCAGACAATTTTGCTCGCAATTTTATTCAAAGCGGATGAAAATTTCAAGCAAAAAAATTTAGAATTATCTTCAAAAATAAACGTTTTTTCCGCAGCAATTTAGCAACTCTCGAACGTTCATACGGCGTTTTTCCTCAGCACGGCAGCATAGGCGTAGCTATACTTATCGAACTCCCAGGAAACGTGTTTTTATTCCTGACGAATTTTACCCTCTATAGTATTTTATTTGTGATGATAGGACAGCTTTTTAGATTATAGAAAGAATTTTTTTTAGCAGAGGAGT